GACAGCGCCCGGGCCGCCTCCGCCGCGGGTGGCTTCGTCTCCAGTCAGAACCAGAAAGTGGTTTACCCAGAGGGTGGCATTTTTTGGGCACTTTGCCACTGTGTGCTGAGGTGTTGGCAGGTTTATGTCACAGCCAGCTAACTGTTTCTAGATTTTCCTCGAGAGCTCTGCAGCGCTGTAACTTTAGCCTCGCCTCGGTGCCGGGTGCAGAGATGAAGTTGGGGTGCGCTGGCTTCCTTGGGGTGATCGGTGCGTGCAGGCCTGCGCAGGACCGCGTGCGGGTGTTACTTTGTGTTAGGACAGCGCTGGAGGTAAAGGAGTGGCTGCTGGGAGCGGGTCCTAGTTAGTGGAGGGCGAGGGGGACTCGTGAATCCCGCAGGCGAGTGGGAGCTGCATTGCCCTTGCTGTCTGCAAAGTTTAGACTCAGGTGCTGGTAACTTGGTTCCGAATTATACAGCAGGAGGAAATTGCCAGGTAGCCTGATTAGCTAACTGCTCACTCTCCTCCCAAGAATTCAGTATTGAAGGTACGCTTTTGTTTTTGTTTTCACTACTAAGTGGCTAGGAAAAGTTACTTTGTAAAATATAGATGAAAGAGAAACGTGAGCATTAAAATATTTTGGGGTTTTCATGTCAACTGCTTGCATAAAATGCACAGTTCTGCATGATATGCAGTTGTGTGTGTGTGTGTGTTGGTTTTAGGGATAAATCGCTCCTTCAAAATTTTTAATTCTACGGTTGTTTCCCCTAACATTTTCACAGTAGTTTATTTAATGTAATTCTTACATTGGCTGGGCTAAAATGATATGAAACCCTGGCAAACTTAGTGATAAGCCATCAGCCCATGTACCAGATGTCTGTTACCAGATTTTGAAGTAAATACTTAAAATGTCTGCTCTCTTTTAAAGAGTTAAAAACAGACATTTTATAAAATGACACTTTTTGGCTTTTGCTTATTTTGCTATTTCTGTTCTTTGTGGTATACATTCAAGATGGTTCGCCTTAATTCTTTATATTAATCATGTCCCTAGGGAAGCATTAGTTTTAAAAAATTGTTGGGCTATAGAGTGTGGCGTATCTGTATTCCCTTCTGGAGACGTGAGAATGTACTTTTGATGAAGGAAAAGAAATGCTGACAGTTCTGAGACCATCTTCCAAGAGTGAGGTGTGCTATTGTGTCCTCCTGAGACCGGGCTGTAACCTGGGGCTTTTCGGTGTAATCAGGATGTGAACTGGAAGGAAGACCTTGGGTGTGGACCCCGGGGGGTCAGGGGGGGCAGGTGGAGGAGGTGTAGTGCTGCTGATGCTCGCTGGAAGGGTTTTTAGGAGTCCTTGGGAGGCAGTGTGTTCTGAAAGTGGCTTTGTGTGTAAGAAAAGACTTGGACTTGAAATTTCAGTCTCTTTCTGAAAACCTAGAATTCAGTGCATAGGAATAAGTCTCTAAACGTTTTAGGATGTAACTGTTAATAATTGTGCTGCTCTAAAAGAGGATTGGCCCCCCCACCCCATCATATTGAACTATAAAAGAAAGTGCCTGGTTCCATTGACCCGGGTACTATTAGTGTAAAATGGTGGTTGCATTTCAGATTTTCTGAAACTATCATTCTTATTTGATCAGTTATCTTAAATTTGATACAAACCACTGTTTTTGTCTTCATGAAGCATAAGTTTGTTTCAGTAAGCTGCTTTAGTTACCTTCTCTGAGGTTTAACTTCATTTAGTAATATTGAAAGTCTTATTGTATGTTTTCCAAACTGAAAATAAAGATGACATTATTTTGTCTTAGTGTACACTTATAATATTTAGTAGTACGGTGGTTAAAGTAGTTTATATGGGGTAATTTTCAAAGATTTTTTGCAAAAGAGAAAGCTTTTATACTGTATGGCATAGGTTGTTTGAAAAGAGATTGATTTAGAGAATTTCAATATATGTTAACTTAGAATCTAAAATTTCGATAGTACAAAGCTTTCTTATTGAATGTTAATAATTATTTTGTGGGTTTAAGTTTATATGGTTTCCAAATGTACATTAAGATGTTAATAATTTTATTTCTTTGTAACTTCTAATCATGTATATAGACTAGAGTAGGACCAGGCCTTTTAAAAATGCACATTCTCAATTTAAAAAATGTTTAAAATATATTTCTAGTTAGAGGTACTAATTGAAAGACTTTTTTGAACCTAGGATAAATACAAAATAGTTCATATTTCTACCACCATATCCTTTTGTTTAAGTTTTCTTTGTAAAGCAATATAATAAGCATATGTAACTGCAAAAACTATAACTCTGCATCATTTATTATCGTTTTCAGGTATATTGTAGTCTGTCAGTGTCATAAAGATGGCTATAATAAACTACGTTTGAAAAGTAGAGGTCAAAATTTGGGAACA